GAAAAAACAATTGAGCGAGAAGAGAAACTTACATAATTTTCATAGATCTCTAACAGGCTATGATAATGTACCAGTAAAAGAAATATGGGGGCAATGAAGTGAAAAAGGATACCAACACATACATTAAATGCAGTCAAAAACAACTTTATAACGATAACCAAAAGGTCAATGTAAATGGTTGGAAAATATTTTACCCAAGACTTCCCAGTAAATAAAGACTACGACAAGGCTGCTGTATATCTCCAACTCTATTTCAGATATGATTGATAAAAGCCCTAAAAGAATGCAGAAGAAAGCACAGAAGAATGTGGTGAAAATAGGGTGACGAAACATGTTCAGTTCTATTTACAGAAATCAGATGATAATGCTGAGATGACGATGTAAAGAGGTCCTTACATCGTGCATCTTCAGCATTATTCATCTGATATTCTGTAAATAGACTGAACACTGTTTCTACACCTATTTTCACCCACCCATCTCTGCCGCTTCCTTCTGCATTTCTTAGGGCTTATCAATTTCATATCTGAAAAGAGTTGGAGAATATTACATGCACCTTGTTCGTAGTCTCTTTATTTACTGAGTCTTGGGTTAGAAATTTTTCCAACTTTTACTTTCACTTTTGTTATCGTTATAAAGTTGTTTTGACTGGCAATTTATGTATTTGTTGGATTCCTTTTTCATTCATTGCTCCCATATTTCTTTTTTACTGGTACAATTATCATAGGCTGTTTTGAGATCTATGAAAATTATGTAAGTTCTCTTCCTCGCTCGGAGAGATCGATAGGAGAGAGGAAGAGAGAGAGAGAGAGAGAGAGCAGAGAGAGAGAGAGAGAGAGAATGAGAGGAGAGAGAGAGAGAGAGAAGAGTAAGAGGAAGAGGAAGAGAGAAGTAAGAGGAGGAAGAGGAGATGAAGAGAGAAGAGGAGAGTGAAAGAGAGAAAGAGGAGAGGGAAGAGAGAGAGAGAGGGAAGAGAGTAGAAAGAGAAGACCCGGAAGAAGATATTTATCCATTTACTAATGAAGATGAAGTTAATTAAATTGAATGCGTTAATGAACATGTAAG